CAATCAGAGACTTTGAACTTCCAAGATTGTAGAATCTTGTGAGCTCCTTTCATGTCAAATGAATGGTTTCTTGTAACTGTACAGTCTGTCTTGGTGCTAATCATACCCACATACAACCCTCTTGATCCTTCGTCTGTCCTGACCATCATGCACCTTTTGGCAACTCACAAAATAGTCGCTTTTTGGACTTTTTCCTACATTGACATTTTTGACATTTAAATACAAAGGTTCAATTTGATAGCAATTAAAAAACAGCTCCATTTCATCATAATTAAAGATATCCTTTGGCAGATAATTTTCCATCACAGGCTTAACTCTCTTGACCCAGTTTTTAACAGTCTCCCTCACCAGCTGATATCAGAGAAACAATTTAATGACATTTTTGAAAATGATAAAGTCATCCATTGGAAGCGTTGAAGTCTGTACCTACCTCTTCAGTCTTTGGTCAGCATATTCTTTGATCAAAATGCCAGAAATGAGAGCATTTCTTGCTGACATTGCAAAACCATTCATAAACAGTTTCATCTAAATCAGTTTCTTGGCATTTTCAAATAGGTTTTCTTCCATGAATATCATGTCCTTCTGCAGTTGTAGACTCAAGACCATTTCTGCTTTTTATACAGATAAAAAGGTTAGACAAAAAGGGATATTGTATTACTTTGCTATTTCCATTTTAGTTTTCTATTCTTGTCTACTGCTGCCAAAATTTATAACTTCTTTGCTAACATTAATTCCATATACTTTCTCTTCAGCATTTTCAACACGGACTATACAACAAATACTGTAACAGAAATTACTGTAAAACACTTCTTGTCTCCTGGTAAGGCTAAGTAACAACTGTTTATTTTTGTCTCAGGAAAACCAGTTTCTTTTCCCTTCCCTGGCAAGGCTCACACATTTTCACAAATCTGATAGCTCGGGTGTTGTCACATTGACAAGAGTTTAAAAATCCATAATTACAGAACAATCTATCATGTAAAATCTGGTAAAAACACATCAATCAGTTTTATAAATCCTTTCTTAACGAAAATGTACAAAAAAAAAAAAAACAAATTGTTGTTAATTTAATTTCAATGAGATTCTGTATTTTTATGATACAGTAATACCTCAACTTACGCGAACCAGGAGTTACACAATTTTCAAATCTCATCGATTCACCTTTCGTTTGAGCGCCATGCAATTACTCACTCCCCCCACACTATTGTTCAGCTTACATGTTCGAACGTGTTGCGCGGAATCAAAACATAGCTACAATTTATTTTGTGTTATTTACTTCTGTGTTTGCTATATCTACGGAGACTTGAGAGACTATGTGGTGATTTCTTGTAACCATAAATGAATCAAAAGATGAGATAAGATTAACGAGAACATTTATTAGCTTACATACATCTGACTTGGATTTTACATAAATTGCAAAATTATACCCCGACTTATGTGAATTCAACTTATGCGGTTATTGCTCTGTCCCACCTATTGCGTAAGTTCGGGGTATTACTGTATTCACAGTTGTTGGCATTGATGTCACATGACCTTAAGAAATGTTAATGTCTCGAATTCTGACTTTGTTTACATTTTGTCCTCTCCTGCCCCACTGGACCAATTCCTGAAAAGAAGCTGGATGGTTGATAGCTGGACAATACAGTGTCATATCACTTTGAATTAATGGAGAACAGACTTGCTCTGGAACTGAAGTTCCACTTTAAATTAACAAAAAAGAGAATTCAAACTAAACAAATAAAAATATTATGAAATGCCTTTAAGGCATCTGAGGAATTACAAGTGTTTTGAACCAAACTGGAGTTCAAATTAAGTGGGGATGATAGTAATACTGTCTCTTTTTATACTTTTAACTCAAACCTATTTTCCCCATGTATTTTTTCACATGATTAATTAAGATAAATAAACATTATGGTTCCATACCAAATACATTATCATGCCATTACAACTTGTGTTGAAATCCTTTTATTTTCTGATTGGGATGCAAAGAAAAACCTTGACAACACACTCAAAAATGCCATAAACTGTGTACAATTTTGTAATCTTTCTTGCAAACAGATTCTTGAGAAGTAGCTTGATAACAGAAACTACAGAACTTGATACAGAAACTACAGATTATGACTACAGAAAAATTTGAGAAAAATCAAATTTTAAATTCATTAACTCAAAGCCAGGATTTATTTACCTCTTAAACTTCAACTCAACAAGATTTTACTGTATTTCTATTCACTATACAAACATGTATTCTCAGACTTTAAAGGGTAATTATAGTTATAATGAGTCACAACCTTCCACACTATTTCCAATGGAAATAGTGTGGAATGTGTAACTTATTATTCACATGTTCCAGCTCATTAGATAGAGAACCATAATTATAGTTACTTCTAAGATTATAAATTTATGATTTTGGAATTAAGGAATTATAAAACAAAACCTTAAAATTAAATAATCAACAGTAAACAAATTCCCCATATTTTTAAATAAACATTTTAGAGAGAGAGAGAAAGAGAGAGACTATCAAAAACTCAAAAACAGTTTTAAATTATAGCCTATGTTTATGAAAAAATGCTATGTTGCATGAGATATATGAGTATACTGATGAAAAATTATTCTATGATGCTATTAAAAATAAATGATTGTGTTAAATTATACCAGAATAAATACATTGGCCCATTTAGATTACCATATATACTCAAGTAATAGTTGATCCCATATAAAAGTCAACCCCATTTTTGGCCAAAAAAAGATAGAATTTTTAATAGACTCCATTAAAAGTTAACCCTAGTATTTCACAGACAAGAAGTCAATATTTGCCAGAAGTTTTTTCATTGAGAACAAACATGATAATTAAATATAAAAATTCATGTAATTCCAGTTTCATATTTAAAAAAAACAAACTGCTTTTTTCTGCAACTTTTACTGAAATACAGAAGTTGATTAAAATTTAAATCTACTTTTAAAGTCATACTTTGTTCCCCTTGGCATGATAAATTACTACATTGCTTCGTAGCTGGAAGAATACTCTGTGTTTTTAAAAAAACAAATAGCTGCATTTTTACTTGTAAAGAAATCACTTGATTATTTTATTTTCATGTGGATAAAAAAAAAATTTTTAATTTTGCTTTCCTATAGAAAATGGGCCCCAAACTTAGGGGGCATTTTCTGTAGAAGTGCTGAATCAGTAATATTACTGTAATTCATTGTGTTTTTGTTTTTATTCCTTTAGAGATCAGACGGACTTCTGATACTGATTCAGTACTTTGGATTCTAGTTTGAATTTCAGCCCCTCAAAAGTAGTATCCATGTAAAAGATAGTGACACAGTTTAAATTACAAAAAGTTAACTTTTCAAAATTAGTACAAAATCGCTTTTTGTCTGGTTAAAATATTCAAAGAGGAAACAGCTGAACACCATCAAAAAATCAGATAGAGAAATGGATGCTTCTCTACATGGCTTCATGCACTCAAGACTGTAGTACTTGCACATAGTATTCTTCCAAAGGGTTTTGCATGTTTTGAAAACTAAAGCATTTCTCATTAATCTGTCCAGTGTTATTCCCAACATATCTCAGGTTGCGGCCTGCTGATCTTGACCAGTTGGCCCGAGATATATCATTTCAGCATCAGTACATTTTTGAAACTAGATGTCACTAGTCATTATAATTTCTATATTAAAACTAACACTTCCAAAATATAATTTTTTGTTTTTACATTTATTAATATATTTATTTTGTTTGTGCAAAATAAAAAAATAATTTTGGATGATACAATAGCCACAATTATTTTTTTCAAAAATGTGTAATTTTCATTAGGCATCGACAAGAATTCAATTTGGTGCCACATGCAACAGTGAAAAATATCAACATCAGATAGGTTAAAAACACTATTTTTAAAACAATTAAATCATACTCCAGAAACTGTTTACTTTACACTGTTGCCTTGAGCATGAAGACCATGTAGAGAAATCTCACAGTAAAGTCTCCACACTCTCTCCTTTGAGTATTTTAACCAGATGAAAAACTTCTGTACTAATTCTGAGATGATCTAAAACTTTGTAATTTAAATTGTACTGCTAATTTTTATAGAAGCTGAGATATGATTTGACCCATGAGAAGGGAGTCAGAAGTGCATGGTGATTATGCCACTGAAAAATCCACTGATTACCCAATTTGTCGTGCACTTGTATTTAGCTAATATGTATCAGAAGCAATATATAGTCTGGTGCAATGTTTTTGTCTACATTCTATACAGATTTGTTAATGGTATTTCAAAGAATTATTGAAAATAGATGCAGAATAATTTATCATGTTTGAATAAATATAAAAATAAATTTTTTAATGAAAAATTAATATGTAATATTAATTTTTTTCTATGTATATACAAAAATCAAAATAAATTAAATTTGAATTATAAAAGAATCAAAAATATAGCATATGAATTATTAAAGTACTAATCTGATAAACTTGCTTACTTTATTTTTTGCAATGTCCACATAAATTTGAAATGCACCTTAGTAATTTTACTGGTCTAAATTTGATAATCTTGTAACAATTATGGAATAACAATTTTCATTAAAATTGTTTAAAATAAGGTATAATTAAAGTTTTTTCCAGATAAAATCAGACAATATTTTATTATTTAGCCATACAAAATGTCTGAGAAATGGTACTGTAATACTGGAGATAACTAATTTTCACAGATTATTACAACAGGATTAAAATTCATATTACATATTTATACTTTTTTATTTAATAATAAATATATTCATAAACAGTTTAAAGATACGATTATCGAATAACACTAAAATATTGGAATCCACTATTAAAATGTTTCAACTAATTACCTATTGCAAAACTATATGACTAAAAATCTAAATCTTAATTTGAAAGGATTCACAGCATCTTAAAATATTTATATAAAATATTCAAATATAATACATAGGAAAATTTAACATAATAAAAAAAAATGAAAGAAGCAAATCTGGTCCGAAGTAAGGGTTTATACCTTTTAGTATACCAGGTGCTGTGTGGTATTGAGTTCCCGCCACTGTGATGGTATTCCCACTTACTGTACCACTCTCAGACTCTTGGTTTGTTGCATCATTACCTCCATTAGCATTTCCAGTCTCTTCTTTTACAGTTGTTCCTGAATTTCCAGTCAAACTGACTACTGCTCCTTGGGCTTCTGTTGATGATAAATCATTAAGTATCTTACGATATGAAGGCCGTCTGGCTAAAATTTCCCTGCGTTTCTTTGATTCTTCATCAGATAAGGCAAGTGTAACAGTCTCCCCATCATCTCCTTTACTGGCAGAAATTAACTGAAACAATAAAAACATATCTTTTTGCCTTTTTAAGTAAATTATCATATTCATACAAAGAATGAATGATCTTTCCTAGATAATTACTCTACATATCCCATATAGTACATTATTTAAAATCATTAAATCAAAATATCAAATCTAAAACAGAATACTGTAAGGTCTCGTTTTATGCGGTGGATACGTTCTACAGAAAAGCGCATAAAAAAAGAATTCGCATAAAAAAAGACTTTACTTGCCTTGAAAAAGTAGGGATACGTTCCGTAATTTTCTAAAATCGCATAAAACCAAAACGAGTTAAAATTAACTTAAAACCGCATAAAAAAAGTTTGCAGATATTAAAAGAAATAGGCTGCTTAATGAATTACTTCGAATGTCTGAAAGAAATTCATATAAAAGCTTAAAATAAACTTGTATTCAAACTTAATTCAGTTTATTTTATTGAAAAGTAATATAGTTTTACATTTTTTTTTTTGAATTTTTGGAATGTTTTTTAAGTCTCCAAATTTTTTAAAAATATTAAAAAAATATACGGCCAGCTTCACCCTACTTTAAACCCTTGTCCTCCCGCGACATTTATGAGAATGCCCCGGAAAATCCAACTCCAGCTGTGTTCAAGGTCATCCAGATCTATAAACTGACTCATCGGTGTTAAATTTCACAGAAGGGCAAGACAAAGGAAGTTAAACTTTGAAGCTTTTTCTTCAAAATTAACGCATTTCTTTCGTTTTTTTTAGTTTTAAGTATTTTATATGTTTAATTACATTTATATCAAAAATTGCTAGGAACTAAAGCGATTAAGGTAGATCTAGCTGTCCTTTACATCCATAAAGGTTATATGTCAGTGGAACAAATGGAGTGAGCTTTGAGCGTCCCACGATTTTTGGAGACTGTCTATACGCGGGCTTCCTAAACAAGCCTATATGTATGTTTGTCCAAAAAAATTTTGGACGAAATACAAACCACACAACTTCAAAATCGCATTAAAAAAATCTGCATAAAACGAGACCTTACAGTATTCACAAATTAAATATACAAATATGATAAACATAATATGAGAAAGATTCAAAACAAATTGGGACTGATTTTTTTCCTTTTGAAAACCTAACACTAAAATTATGGATCTAATGGGTGAGAGAAAATATCTGGCCTGAGTTTAAGCAACATAACTTTTGAACTCAAATAACTTTTGAATATGCTCGAAAGATTATGTCATTACACATGTTTGGTTACAGCACATGAAGTTTTCAAACATTTGTGAGTCAGTTCGAAAAAATGGATTCAAAAGAGGACATATTAAGAGAGCACATTGTACAAATGTATAAAAATAAAGCAAACCACTGAAAAAACTTGATGGTGAAACATTTTTTAGCCAAAAGCCATAGCAAATCAACAGTATATAATATTTTGAAGTATGAAATATCTGGAATGTGGAAAAGGCCAGGAAATGGAAGAAAGTTGTTTGTTATGAATGCTAAAAACCAAAGAGCATTGTGACAAATGTCTGACAACAAAGGTGAAGTTAGCCAGGTGGAGGCCGCTAAAAGGTTCAATTGTCATCAAACTTATATAGATAAGAAACTTAAAAAGCTGGGCATAAAGAAAAGGAAGAAGAGAGCCTCAGAGAATTGCTAAAAAAATCTAAAAAACTGCTGAAAACCAAATGCAGTGCAGATGGTTCGTAAGAAATTTTGGAAACATTCTGGGGACCTATTCTAAGTTGTATCATTAAGCTAACAAATACAATAAAAACCAGTTTTTATTAGAACCACATGAATGGCATTTAATTAACTGTAAAAATGCTACTCTGTGAAGTATGTTTCATTTTCGATTCCAATAGCCAAGTGTGATAACTAAGCTTTTCTTACTGATCATTTGAGGTTGCTGTTAGGAATGTAACAAAAGTAAAAAGAACATGGAAACTTTAGGTGTAAGAATGATATTACTTCACAAACAATTAGATAGAGAGAAAATTAGCATTTGACATTGTAAATCTCAGTTTCATCTTAGAGATAATGCTTTTCAACTGAATGATTCATGCTTTAAAGAACTTTATTGTCTTCTGAAGCCATTACTATTACATTTATGTAATGAATTATGAGAAAAGTTAGGGCATTTTAACAGAAAAAATTTAGCTAATGCTTGTATACGACAATACTAAAAACACATGCTTTACTTGAAAACAGCAGGTTACAGTCATGTGACAAAAAGACAATGTTAAATAAATTGTGATTGGTTGAAGCATAATAGCTAAGCATGGAACCCAGATATATATCAACTGATTACCTGTAGTGAAACCTACTTAACTTGGAGCAAAGAATAGCAATCTGTCTAAGATTTGCTAACTGCCTTTAGCTAAGGAGATTTATCGAATGTCCCATATATCACTTTTGTTGAGTTATCAGAAGGGCTTAGAATAGGTCCCCTGGAGAGATAAAAATACTTCTAAGCCAAAGATATTTTCACAGATATCAAATACTTTCACAATAGCAACATTAATAAATTCTTTTTCCCCTGACTGGTTTGTGTACTTTTCTAGAAAACTTTTCACAAGTAAATTTAATGTATTTTTTAAGCAATCAGAATTCATTCAAAATAAATATTTTTGATGTTTTTATAGTTAATGACAGTCGATTGCTGCAGTGATCACAATGATTATCCCAATTTTCCAATAAATTTGAATTTTTAATTATTTTACAAATAATTAGACAATTTTAATAAAGTTTATTAATATTTAAAATAATCAAAACCATCAATTTTTATATTTTTGTTGCAAATATTAACTATATTAGGGAAGTTGTGTCACTCCAGTTTTTTGTTTTTGTAAAGGAGATAAGTATATATCAGAACATACCTTGCACTTTACTTGTCCAAAACATATCAGTTGAGTGCCATTGTGATCACGGGAGAGTCTAATACTGCAATTTTGTGGCAAGATAATCTAATGTGAGAAGAGAAAATACTCCTATCACTACATTCTCCAATTCTTCTGTTGTCTGGTAGTTCTGTTGACTGATTTTCTCCTTGTTGAAGCTCATAAGGCATTGTCTGGCATTATAAGGTTAGGACTCTTTGGTGGCCATGGGAGAGGTGCTAAGGATGATTCAGATCCATGGTCACTTCATCTGTTTGGAATGGTTCATCCAAGCTGCTGTGGACACTTCATGAAAAATGAGCAAGAGCACTGTTATGTTGAAAGACAATAGCATTTGCTATTCTTGTCTTTATCAGCCAAAGAAAGACAAAGCCTTTTTCATAACACTAGTTTTGAACACAATGAGTTTTTGATGGTCATGTAAATGTCCATCAAAAAAGAAAAGTCCAAAATTCATTAGCTACTTATGAAGAGATGCTCTGAAAGTAGCTTTGTCCTTTGAACAATAGAAGAGTTGAGGAATGCAATGATAGGAGCATTTTCTCTTCTCACACCAGATTATCATCAGACTCTGCCAGGATTAGGATGAAGTTTATGCTGACATTCTTTGGACAAGTATAAAGTATGTTCTGTAATATGTCTCAGTATATTCTTTACAAAAACAAAAGAACAGGATGGCATGACTTCTGGACACACTACATACAGTAAAATCTTGTTTTAACAGATCATAAAACATCAAATTCTTTACCCAGGTCCTGCCAAATCAATGTAATTTACATATCTCAAAATAACAAATTTTTTTTAGCATCTATTATAAACTTTTTTTTTTGTTTTTTTTCAACATTTAGTTAGTATTTGGATGTTTTCGGGAATTTGTAGAGTTTGATGATGCACTTGTTACATCTGGGATATGTATAACTGAAGAATTGTACAGAGAAAGCCAGCAGCTTGATAGTGCTACCTGATAAACAGTCTGACACTGGTCCAAGTGTAATGTCAAAATTTAGCAAGACTACTGAGTCCTTCCAAGTCATGAAGACCTTCCTGACAAATTTCAGCATAAATGAACAACATTGCTAATATCATATGGTTGTTGTATTCAATAGGCAGAAAAGCAAAACAAATCAAAATGGACAAGTTTTTTAACAAATCACAAAATCAAATGAAGTGCTAATGAGACTACATAATTGGCCTCTTTTTGTTCTTACAATACACAGAGTCTCTGTTGGCTTTGTTGTATATACGTACAGCATAATATATTATCTCATAACATCTATATATATAACCCATTGAACGGGTATCCGTCCGTGTAACAGTATGCAAAAAACAGGCACTACAGGCGCCCTAGCAAAGATTTTAAATTATCAATAAATTATTTTTATTTGTAATAGGAATTTATTTTTTATACCACAGAATGGTATAAATAATTATTATATGCCTTGATTAACCTTGCGCCGCACATTTACAACATCCCATGACTCAGTGAACATCACGCATTGACTCACGGGAAATTTGTTGAAAAAATGGCAGATACATTTAAAATCAAGGTTTACAAGCAAAGGTAAATAAACAAATTAAACTATTTTAAAGTATTTATAGAATGTTTAATAGGTAAAAATATAGATCCATATGACGTGATTGGGACGGTAAGATTTACCCTCCGAATGAAGGGGTGGCGACCCCCTCTGTGCGAACAATAAATGTCTAATGAACCATACCCCTATGCGCGACCCTTCCTGAGATATAGCCCTCTGAAAATTATTATATGGGTCACGTGACCGCCTGTTTGTCACAATTTACCCTGCAAATGAGTGGATCGGTGACCCCCCCCGAGTGTGCGCGAGCGCACGTTAATTTTTTTTCACGCGGTAGGCTCCTTTTTGACTGCAGTGTCACGTGACCGAAAATGACATAGACAAATTCTCGGGGGCTTATATCTCGCGAAGGGTCGCTGTAGGGGTATGGTTCCTTTGACTTTATTGTTAACACAGGGCGGCTACAGTTGGGGGTTGCCCATCCCTTCATTCAGAGGGTAAATCTTACCATTGGGACTTTAACAGAGCTGTAAAGCATATTGATAGGAACAAAACAAAGGAACTGTGCCTCATGGAAATTTGTAAAGAAC